GGCTCTTACGTAATTTGGTTTATTGACAATCAGTCCACAGTAGGGACGGGGGTTTTGCCAATGGCCAAACCCAGACGCTGGCATAACTGGCGGCGGGTCTCGAGGCTAAAGTGTCTCATGGGGCTGTCATTTAGCAAAACCGCCCGTCGCGTTTCGCGCTCTTAGCAACTGATGCAAATGCTCCCGCAGTGTTCACACAGAGTCGGCGATTTACTGAGGCCGGACCTCACTCTCAAATTGTTCGCTGCACCATTTGTGGTTCAAATCGTCCCCGTGAATATTGTATAAGATAGGGGTAATATTGTCTGATCGGTCAGAACAGTTTTACCGTCCCGGTATAAGTTATGCAACTTAAACGACAAAGGGGAAGCCTTGCGCTTGAACGCTTACCACTGCGCATTAGATAGGTTAGGAAAAAATCGAACCGTCGCTAAGATTCGGCCTTGCGAAAGCATAGATTTTCACTGTAGGTCTTAGAATTCGTTAAGCAAGGTAACTTTACTATATTCCGTGAGCTAATGAATAGTACGTAGCTTGCTATCGACTAACCAATATGAGAAGTGCAATCCCTAAATTAGACAAATGACCAATCTCCAAAATAGTTTGAATTTAGAACTAGTCAATCCTTTGGAGAAGATTATAAAACGGTTCTAATATGGGGATCCTCCTACATGGAAAGTAAGGAAGCTAACTTTATGAAACTCATTGGACGGAAACTAGAGATGATTTGACCCAGTCATGCAAAACCTCGGACCCCCCTGCCCCATGTTTGAAACCCCAGACCACCGGAAACCCCTACTTCCTGTGTAATGCCCCAAGCAAATAGTCCCCACCCCTATTTCTGGAAGTCGTTTCACTAGCGCAGCTGAATGCCGGGAGCCAAAACTTAGGGATATGATAGGTAGCAACAAGGGACATTTTGTGTTGTTATTTGAACCAAATCGGATGGTTGGACCGGAAAATTTTAGCATTTGGGAAAAACAAAGCTTAAATCGGAAATAGGGATTTTGCGCAAAATATTGATGAGGGCATATTGATTTTGTGGCGGCAATAGACACTAGATACTATCCCCGAAAAAAAAACATATTGAGTGAAACCCCTCCGGTGAATTCTTCCGGTGCCGATAACCTTTTCCCGGGAAAAGGGATAATGGACCGTAGAAATGGGGTAACTTGGCAAGTACTAATGTGATATGAGTGAGTTTTGGTAGTTAGGACCCCCTTGGGATTCTGAACCCCAATATGGAAGATTGACCCTGGGTGACCCAGGGGTAACCTCTAATTGACCTTTAGGCGTTAATGACCAAAATCGCATAGAAAACCCCGTGATTAACACCGACAAGTGGCTCCATTCCCAGCACCAACCATCAGGAAATAGGAATCGATCACCTGACTTGTAATTGGGAGGGAAGTTATTTTTTGTGAACTGAAGCAGAAGCTGAAAGGGATATGGTTTTTACATTTTAACATTGAAGTAGTGGAACTAATTAAAGCGGACTTGGCAAACATTGGGTTCAGCTTAATTTGGCGAATGCTCTATTTTTAGAATATCAACCACACTCAAAAAAGTAGTCCTAGAGGGAATTGGCAGTAATAGGAGCATGGCATGAGAACTAGGTCTTATGAAAAACTTGACTGGAAGAGATTTCCACTTGGCTCCCCTGGAGATGGCTTTTCGGCACATTTTGCCCCCGAATAAACCATTTACGTTCCCATAATAGCTCGAAGGTCGGTATTTGAAAAGAGTATAGATTGGATTTTTAGACGCTTGGAATGAATCAGCGACCCATGGAAAAAGGATCTTCCCCTATTCCCGGGAGATCTGATCGTCAATAAGATAGTTAAATAAAAACCTTGGGGGACTTGTAAATTAGCTATTGATGAAAATAGTAGGTTCCCATCAAAGTTGAGAACAGTGATTTGTTAAGTCAGAGAACTCAGTTAAATTATCTCAAAGGCATAGTGATCCTGAGCGATTTTTTTAAAATTTTAGTTCGTCGAACTGAACTGAGTGTTTGCTTAGAGCTACTGTGTGTAATTCATTAACTTGGATTAGAGAGAGAGAGAAAGAAAGAAAGAAAAGAGAGAGAGAAAGAAAAGAGAGAGAGGAAGAATCGTTTAGTTAAGTTAGTTGAGAGTTGGATGGCAATTAGGCAATTGTGTAGATTGATCGCGGAGTCTTTGCTTTTGATCAGATTATTAGATTATTCTTGCCACTTAGAGTCTTCTGTATTTGGACTGATTTTTATCCAAATTTAATTACAACCGGAAATTCTTGCGATCGTGAGGGCAGACTAGACGGCCTTTAAAGCAGTACAAAAAAGGGAAGTTAACATAATACAATACAGAAAAGTTACCGCCATCTTAACCCTAACGGGATTGTGGATACTAGTGAATCTTGGTCGCCCTGCTGAGTTCACTACCCAAGGAACCACGTTGCGGTTTTGTTAAGAGAGAGTGGGAAAGAGAGAACAAACCTTAATAGGAAATTCTTTAAATCTAGAGTATATGGCAAAAATATAGCCTTCCAAGCCGAGGTTTCCTTTTTTGTTTCGACCAGCGCCACAAAAAAAGTTATGGTTTGACCGGTGCGACCACAAATGCCTATGTTTTCAACGGCGTCGCGACCAAAAACTTCCATATTCCGACCAAGTTCAACCAATCCTGATGTGTTACGACCGGCGTAATCGGAAAAATACTTTCTTTCGACCAAGTTTGTCCACGGAAATTTCAGTTTGAACTTTTCAAACAGTTTTTGGCAGGTTTGATTTTTGAGTCACAGGAAAAAGCAAGTATGAAAGTATGTTTGTACTACTATGATATAATAGTCCCTCGCATTTATGCTAGACATGTAGAAAGCATTTATGATAGACAGGTTTTACATGCATTTAGCATGTTACATTTTTTAAAACTAATTTGTGTATAAATTATGCATTTCAAAATCTCGCGAAATATGTTGAGTCAGAAACTCTTCAGATTAAAAATAGTGTAATCACACAAGTATTCATATCAAGAAAAATGCTCGCTTCGACCTTGACGCTTTAAAAACATAAACTTTCCTCATAATGACGAGGATGGATGTTTTAGGAAATAGCGAAACAAAAACTTTGTTCAAAAATATACTGTGACGTCGCTCTGAACAACGAATTTGTACTGTCTACATGTTTTGAAAGCTCTAGCGTCTTATTATCAAGATACCTGTTTAGTTTCAAGGTACCACTCTGTCATAGTAGAACCTAAATGTGTTTCGACTAGCTAAGAGTATTGAACGTGGTGAAGACTCTGATATAGGTCTTGGTGATTTTTTCAGGAAAAAAATCTTAAATCGTTCTAATATTTACGATGTACATTCATACGTATTAATGCATTTATGAATGATTTTAGGTAAATATGCACTTCTTGAGTTTCATTGAAATTCTTCTGCTGAAAGTTACGTAAATAGAACTCTCCAATTACGAACATGGAATTAACGCAAAAAAAAACGTGAACGATTTTTAGTTTCGAAAGTGGAATTTAATTTTGATCAATAACCAGCTATTAAGTACAGCAAATGCTAAGGATTTTAACACAGACTATTGTATTACAAATAGCACTTTAGCTTCAAAGTATCATGGATCTGTAGCATAAAGGTAGGGAAGGAGACCCGCAACTAAATAAGGGGGTTCGACCTGGGTAGGGTCGAATGTTTTTAATGAACTTTTTTGTATACTAGTTAAAATGCGTGCGCTCTATAAATTGAGGCTTGTTAGTTGGTAAATTACTTTGTTTTTCAAATTGATTGTTTTTTTCATGCGTCATAATTGGCTTGCGTCACTTAGCATTTCTGTAGACTCATCATTGGCGTGCGTCACTTAAGTAATTGGCGTGCGTCACTTGAAGTTTTACTCATTCAGTTTTTCGCAGTAGCGGTATCGGTCATATTGTTGCTTGTGTATGCGAAGTACAGCTTCGCCTCTTTGTAATTATCTGCCATTTAGGCTAAAAACTTGATTCTACATAAATGAAAACTAATTTTGGAAGCTTCCTTAAGCGCTTTCTCGGCCATAAATTTTTTTAATTCAATTTTTTGTTCAACTATTTATTGAAGACAATTGTAGTTTTTTATGCCCTATTCACTAAGTTTCTACGTGTTTGTATAATTCTAATATCACACCAAGCAGAAGACACGACGCTAATCTGAAGCTAACAATAATTTTTTGTAGTTTTTTTCCGAATGTGGTCGGAACATGCTAGTCTACTTCCACAGCAACAGGCTATCCTTGTTTTCATTTATGAATATTGCACTTAAGTGGTGGGGGTGGCGCGTATCTTTAATAAATGATGCTTCGAGTTAGCCAACTATAGTACTGGTACCATTAAGCGAAATCTAGGCGCAACGTTTCACCTTAAATAAAAGTGGATTGTGTTGTTGTGGTATGGTGTTAATATATAGCTCCCAAAATTAAAACTCGCTTATTGTTTGTGAATGGGCTGGCCCATGTGAACAATCTTCCCCCTTAAAAGACCAAGTGAACAATCTCCCTCTAAAATTAAATGGCAAATTCAAGCCGTAAGGCCTGCATGTACCATGCTAAAATCTGATTGGCTGAAACGTATTACTTTGAACCAAGTGAACTCACTCCCCCCTAAATTGATTTAGGGGGGGGGGGGTGGGAGAGATTGTTCACTTGGTCCATCGAGCTCATCCATTTTCCTATATAAAATTGTCTGAAAATGGTTTGTTTTTCATAGTCATTTACGTCAAAAATTTTTTAATCAAAACAGCATTTAACTAATCAAAACACAAACAACTGTTAAGTTTATAGTTGCTTTGAAGTTATTGTATAAAGATTTTGCCTTTTTTGCTTTACTGTATTAAGAGGCTTCTGGACCTTAAATAGCTTCTATGGATGGACGATCAATCGTTAATTGTTATTTCAGTCATTGTTAATCTGTAATTATTATTTCAGTCAATCTGTAATTGTTATTTTCTGTCTGGTTATTTAAAATTGATTGTTTTAGGACTGGAGACGGGACTGATAGAATGTGACGACTACGCGGCAGGCACCTCCAGCCGATCAACCAAACTAATACACGGAGGAGTGCGATATCTGCAGAAGGCTATCTTCAACTTAGACACCGAACAGGTCAGTACACGTCACAAGGATAACCTGTTACTGGGAAAATAGCACCGAATAATCCGATCACCATGATTTAAGAGAATCTCAAAATAAGAGAAAAAATTTTAAAACTGATACCAAACTTGATCCTAGTTGTCCTTGAGGTAATCAAAATTGGGAAAAGAAATCAAACATTCGTCTGAGCTCGTGGGAACAATAAGTGAGTTTCGAGCTGTTACCTGATTCGGTTTAAGAAACTAACATTCACAGGTCAATCTGAATCGAAATAATTTGGATGAATAATTTGTGATGTAAATCCTAGAATTTTCTGTTATACAACCCAAAAAATCGAATTAACTTCTATTTGAAATTAAATTTCTGCTGGAGATTTATTTATTTATAACTTGAAATCAATAAATCTCAAGCTAAATAAAAATAAAATAAATAAATTAATGAAATTAATATTTATAGCTTGAGATTTATTGATTTCAGGACGAGTTCCAATTCGAAGTATTATTACCGCTTTCATTTGCTGATCATCGGTGAAGGGTTCCATAATACGGGGATTGTTGACAATATATTTTTGAAATGGGGGATCTGAGAGTATACCAATCCAACTAAAAAGATCAGAATTAAAATCCGACAAAAATTGTGAAAATGAAGGGTTGTTGAAATGAACTGCGTGCTCAGTATCTTCTACTGCGCGTCTTTGTTTAGTATCAGGGTTTCCTATTTGAAATGGAAATGTAGTCGCTTTCTCATCTATGAATCGGCGCATTAGAGTATGTTTAGCATTTTTCAACTACTGGGTGTATATTCATGTTTGATTGGTGTGTGCTCTTCTAGTACCGGATGGTGAAGGAGGCCCTGCATGAGAGACGCAATCTGCTGGAAATAGCCCCTCACTTGACCACAGCACTGCCCATCTTACTACCCGTCTACAAGTGAGTGTAGTAAAACAAAACTAAAAGCAGTGTAGTAATCATACATGGCATAGCATTAGGCATAGAAAGTAAGATTCAAGAATGAAATTTCAATTTTTAAATGGATCAATGCTACAATCGCCTGGAACAAAATATCTGCTGTTCCCGGGCCTTCTGCCATCACCCCCTAATCGATTCTGGGGAAGCGGGAGTTTCGGAGACTAATGATTTTTCAAAAAAAAAATAAGGATTTTTTGATAAAAAGGAATAATCCCAATTGAAGTTCCATCGCTTAATTTTCAGATGGTTACTCTTGCGAGCAGCTAGTGTTTTAGTACGAATATTCTTTTTTTTCTAACCTAACCCGCAAATAAAAAAGTTCGTCGAAAAGTTTCACTTGTGTGCCCTTTTGCTATAATCGCGGTCTGTAGCATTGGAAATTCATAGCATCTGTTCTCGGCTTTACTTATTATGTGAACGACCAGACATATGGCCAATTGGACTAGTGGACTATTCTCAATGTACTATATACAGACTTGCCAGTTGACGCGGGTTCGAACCCCTCCATACTCTGACCGTTACATGTTAACCCGAGGGGAAATAGCCTCACTTGACCGTTTTTTCGCTCTAATTCGGTTCAGCATTGATTAAGGCGGACCGTCACAAAGAGCAATTTGTCTCAAGAAGATTACCGGTTCTTGTGGCTAGCTTGCGCCAAGTTTTTTTAAACACACGAGCTGAATATTGGTGAATTTATGAACACAATTGATATGAGTTTTTGGGATCATTTACCGATTATCGGCATGAGTGGTACGTATTGCCGAAAATACGAATAAAACTTTATTGGCTTACCAAGGTTTTCCTAGCTACAGAGATTGAGCGCATATGTTTGAGCGTCCGTGGCTGAGTGGCTAGTGCGTGAGACTCAAAATTTCTAGGTCGTAGGCTGGAGTCCGAGTCGTCGCCGAATTTTCACTAATTTTACTTTTTATTCTTGCTTTTTCTTTTTGCACTTTTTAGAACTCTAGGGCTGTAGAACTGCTTTTTGTCGTGTTCTCGCTCGTGTTTGCGGAGCGCAGCTTTGTCTCTGTGCAATGTTTACTGACTTTCATGTAATAATTTGGCGAACCTTGCAAATATTTAAAATTTGTTTTTTTTTACTATGAATAATTGGGCAAATATATTTTATGAGTTGTGGTTATTCCAGTACGTTACGCTATCTTTTTTTGACTGGATAGGCTTGTTTCTTAATTGGTTAGTCTCAAAACATCTATAGTTGCGAGGTTTTCTTGCGAGGTTGCAATTGAGCTGGAGCATGATTGGGTATACGGGGTCTTAATTGGTTAGTCTCAAAATTTCTATAGTTGCGAGGTTGCAATTGTGAGCTGGAGCATGATTGGGTATACGGGGTTTTATATGCATCATGATTGGGGCTATGGGGTTGTTAGATGATCATGATTGAGTCTATGGGGTTGTTAGATAGATCATGATTGGGTCTATTGGGTTGTTAGATAGATCATGATTGCGTCTATGGGTTTTTTAGATGGATCATGATCGGGTAGTTGCAACTAGGGATACTATTTAATCATTTATTTATCAAAACATAATAAAACGTTAATTTAATTGATTGTGTAGTTTACCAATTTTAAACTGAATAAATGTTTCAAAATTTTATACAGAATTGATTTTCAAATTTACTGCTTTCTTGGGGAGGAGATTGTATGGTTGATTCCATTAAATTTTTCGAAAGTGAAAGAGCTTTACGGGGTGTAACTTTCTCTATGAAACTGGTCTTTTGCTGTCTTTTAAAATAAAAGTGTTTTCTGTTTTTTTCTTGTACAATATTTTTGCACAAAAACAATTGCCAGTTATATGTAAACTGCGTTTAATTCTAATTTTTCTTCGATTGAAATGATAGAGGCGCTGATTAAAAGATTTAAAATAGCAATATTCAATTTAAAAAATGTTTGTGTCAAGTAGACGGATTTGATCTAGAGAGCATTTATTAACCAATAGGACAAATAAAGTGAGCGAATTTTGGCGAAAAACTAGTTAGACAACAAATTGCTTAACACTAGCTGTCTGTTTTAATTTGCTCGAAAATGAGCCCAACGGGTATAGTCCCTTAAGTTTAAACAAAAGGGTATCTATTTAATCGATGATTGAAAGCTTCTGGCTAACAAATTCCTACTAATTTTTTGACTGAATATTTCACGTTGTTGTTGTTGTAAGTTGACCGATGAGGTGCGTCATGTAAGCGAGGCCTGCGTTTGAAGAACTTCGCTACTTCGGCCGGCTAGAGCCAGTAGTCTTGGTGAGTTGAGCCAAGTTTTGGGACAGTTTGAGTTATCTAACTGTGAGGCGTGGGTCAGTTAAATGCGTGATTATAATATTGGGAATTAGATAATTGTAGCGAGATGTTTGGGCTGCTGGTTACAAGAAAGGGAAGTGTTTAGTAATTAGAGCAGTGTGAGTAGAAGAGATCTCGATAATGGTCTTTGACACGCGCGAGTCCACAACATTTAAAGCGGATCCACCTGCAAATGTTACACCACGTGATCTTTTCGTTTTGCTTAATTGCTGTGGAACTTGGGAGCAAGAATAGAGACCTGGGTCGGGAAAATTGCCGGAACGGCGGAGAAGAGTGAGGATAATTAGACAAAATAGTCCGGACGGCTTCAGACGCTCCAAACCAAAAAACGTGGGCTTTGCAAGCAATCAGCGTTCCCTGTACATTTAGTGAGTGAAGTTGAGCTATTTGAAGACAGATATGAGGTTGTTGTTTCCGCCACTTGGAGATGGGACATCTGCAGCCAAATATTTTGTTTAATATTTTGTGCTGGTTGTTGCCGTTGCAATTAATTGAAGAAACAAGCTTGTTCTGTTTTTTTTTTTTCATCTTTGTCTTTTAATCGACAAGGAAGTTCACTGTCTTGATCAGAAATGTCTCCTAACTAACCAATAGAAACAATGTAAGGATGGTGTTGATGTAGGCTTCACTCTCCTTTTTTTATAGCTGTTCAAATTGTGCATAAAGATAGGCACAGCTGTCCATTTAATGCTCAACTATAAAAAATGACCTGTAATAAAACTAAATGGTAGTAATTGAGTTAAAATGCAAAACCTATGATAAGTTTATCTGCAAATAGGAAATGTTCAGACCAGTTTTTCTCAAAACAGACAAACTTTCAGATATTAACTTTTATCGAAGCGGAAGAATGATCGGTTGCGTTTTAGATGTTTTCTTTGTGGAAAATTAATTGTTCCGAGCGAAAGAAATTATTGATCCAGAGCCAAATAATGCTCTTTAGTATGGCTTTCTCAGTATTGAGAGAAGTAGTTAATCATCCAAAGCGGTTAAGTTTATTCAGTTCGACTGTTTAATTATTGTTCATGGAACAGAGTTCCAGGACATAGAAGCCGTTACTCATTAATGTCGTTTTTATTTAAAAAAAAGTACGGGGTTGACAAATCCTGGATAATCCCCCAAAGCGTTTTAGTTTTGAACTCAAATTCAATCATTTAGGCTATTGATCTTGCGTTTTTCTCAAATTTTAGCACAAAATAAGGAATTGAATAAGTTATTCATTAACAAAATATAAAAGTGTTGTTATCTTTTATATAGATTTATGATATCAGATGTAATTTGCTTTTGGGCTGAGTAATTTACAATTCCTCCTTATGTTGATCAAAATTATACGATGGGATAAGCAAGAGGCTCAGCTTTTCCGAGAAAAACTAAGAGCCCAAAAATCGAAACTGATTGCTGTTATTGAATATTTTTCAACAACCAATGACCAAATACTGCCTTTTAAACAACAATTTTTTGTTTCGACCCTATAGGAAAGATCTTACTAAACAAAATGTCTAAGATATGGCAGAATTTCAGCCCTGATTTAGCAGAGATAGCGACGAAATGTTAGAAAAAGTTGATATCTGTTAGATTGGTTGAATATTGAAATTTGTGGCTTCGTTATCACGTAACTGCAGGCTAAATGTGTAAGTAATTTAGTATCGTTATCCTTTCTAATAGCGCTCCTTGAAAGCGCTCCTTTTTGTTCCGATCATTGTAAGACCTTTTTTATGCAAACTCTGAAGGTCCAACTGATATATCACATAGAAGCCATTTCATTCGGGCTTAGACCTGCAATTAAATCTGGATCAGAAAAAACGGTATCATGTCTTCGCTAATTACAGTAAAACTGTAAAGTTTAAAAACACATCACCCTTGCGATAAGCACGGGTATTGCAATTGGGTACTAGCCTTTTTTTCTTCTTAACAACTTTGTCCACAGGACTCATTGGGCTCTTGGTGGTACCTTGGTTCATTATGAATTCAAATTTTGTAGTGCATCTTGCACACTTAGCCTGGCGGTAACGAATACGCCTGGGACGCCAAAGGGTCTGGGTTCGAATCTCACGAGGACCAGTTTTTTTTTTGCAAACGGTAAATATTCCGGTTCAAAAAAATTTCGAACTAAAATTTGTCTGCTCATGTTTTGTCGGCTTAGTTGCAACATCTGAGAATCGTTTATTTTAGCTGTAAACAATTTTGCTGCAGTTATCTTTAGCATTTCAAAAATACAGCTGAATCGAAATTTACTTTTCACATTGGTTGTAATTTTACCAGCTCGATTTTTTAAAGTTTCCTTTTTTTCGTTTTGTCTTACTTATCGGGTTGATAATTTTCGGCCTAATCAATATCGACTTAGTGGCCTTTCATTGGGTCTCTTTACGACAGAAAATTTTTTGTGCGTGTGCTTGTGCTCTGAAGGGAAAAAGGACTTCACATTTTGTTGATAAGTTTAGAATTTTTTAAATTTTCTTTTCGGCATGAAGGGTTTCTGCTCAGGTTTTTTCGGCTTTGTTACTGCTTCTAATTATAAATTCAAATGCGATCACCCATCCGGCGCATCTGACATAAAGGTAAAACAACTGCTTGGGACGGCAAAGGCCCTTTTTTGCAAAATAGAGTTGTGCTTTTTCGGACTACCGTCCGTCTGTTTACTTTGTCGGCTTAGTTCCCGTAGGTCGATCGTTCAGCTTTATTCCAAGTTGTTGTATTCCCCATGCTTGAGACTACAAAGTCCGGGAGTTCGAGTCCAGTTGAGACCTGTTTTTCTTGAACTTAGAAAATTTGGCCTAATTTAGATTTTTGTCTGTCTGTTTATTTTTGTCTGCTTAGTTCCACAGAAAGGACTTTTTTTGAAAACTTGGCTTCTGTTTAGCGTTCACAAAGCTCTTCGTAAAGTTTCTAATGGTGCAGGCAATTTTGTTCCGAATATTTTGGTCTTTTGCTGCTATTTTTATTGACAAAATCGATTTTTTGAATTTTTCAATTTCCGTTTGATTTTAATCATAGTGATTCATATTTGTATCGCAAGTGGTGCGAAGTTCAACTTTGCCTCTGTGTTATCCTTGCGATCATCAATTTTTGACTCTTTATTTGAACTGTGAATTGTTAATTAATGACGCAAAACTTCCTGGACCCCACATAAAAAGGCAAGTTGATTCCCAAAAACTGTTACTTAATTTTTAACTTGTGTTTTCTTCTGAAATGTATTTCTTGTCGGAACGTTCTATCCTACCCTTCTTGTACTCCTACATTCTACTCTTGTGATATACTATACGTGTTCTGTTTCGGGCTGATGGCGTATGTACAGTAAATGGACGCAAATCTGTAAATGGGCGCAAATCTGCAAATTTTTGCTAAGATTGCACGTTTGGATGAAACTGTATTGATTTCAAAAACAGAGAAAAACAGGGCTATTGTCCTTGCAATCTGCAGTACAGTATATTCAGTTGTAGAATGAAATGCTTTGTTTTGATAGATACTGGCAGATACCCTACTACTACGCAGGAATCAAGGCCTATGACTTGGTCAGTGGGTCCAAGATCTTAAAGCCCAGCTACATCCTCTTCAAGAACAGGACCCTGGATGTCTTTCCTATGCTAAAAAAGGATAAGCTCAAGTGCGGCATCGTATACTACGACGGTATGTTTGTCCTTTTATTACTACGATTAATCAATTTGACAATTAGATTGATTTCATCCTCCACATTTTCTTGGATGATTTTTTGGAGTCGTACTAAAAATGTTCTTCACTTTTAGCCTAAATTGTTCGGCACTTCTTAGAATTATTTGAACCATCAAAACGTTTTTCTCGTCAAGCAATCTGTTCTCAAAAGCTTAATATATGAGCGCTCAAAGTTGGTTCAAAAATGGATGTCGTAAACTATTGTTTTTCTGCCGTGTTTTCTGTCAAATTTAGTACCCGTTGAATTGTTCTTCAGGCCAGCAGAATGATGCTCGAATGAATCTGTCTCTGATAGTAACAGCTATTAGGTATGGAACGCAGTGTGCCAACCACGCTAAGGTCACCCAACTCCTCAAGGACGAACAGGGAAAGGTCAGCGGGGCTGTTTGCAAGGACCTACTCACAGGTTAGGCAGAACAAAAGGAGCGTGAAAGGAAATTTCTGTTTTTACTGCAAAAACTTTTTTCTGGTGGACAAGAAGATTGCAGATTTACGTGTCATTATGAACGAAATGAAGGCGCTTGTTTAAATAGTTTTGATTTTTCAGGTTTAAATCTTGAAATTTGATCACGCTCAAGTTTTTATTTGAAGTTTCGTTCGATTTTTGATTTCTCTTCAAGTTCAATTAAAATTAATTTGCTAAATGGAAGGTAAATTACGCTCAACAAAAAATACGCTCTCCAACGCTTTTCAGGTTACTCAAGTTTACCGACACTAACTCTAGTTTGGCATAAAATATTATACATAACGATATGCTTTGGGTTTTTAGGAGAGGTATTCAAAGTGAAGGCGAAGTGTGTGGTGAATGCGACTGGGCCCTTCACTGACAGCATCCGCCAGATGGGCAGCGAGAAGAACAGACCCATCTGCCAGCCATCCTCTGGAGTACACATCATACTGCCAGACTACTACAGGTACAAAATATACATATATGCACCAAGTAATAGTATTAACAAACGCTTGTATGTTCATAACATGATGCAAACAGAATCACGACATCAGAGTCATAACACCTACATTAAAAGTTCCTGTAAAGACTTTTTTTAAATGAAGTACAGTTCATATCTGTATTGCAGTACAATTTTAGTACGGAACTTACTTCAATCCGAAGTCTTTATTTGATCTTAAGATCTTTATTCCGGTCAAGGCAAAAATGTCTTAACAGATTGTCTTGATGTTTTGATAAATAATTTTAATTTCTAGATTTTAATGATTAATGCCATATTTCAAACTACTCCTTTAAAGTTCTCCTCATAACTAATACCAACTCCTTTCCATCATAGTCCCCACGGAAAATTTAAATCCCCCTTATGTTGAAAACGTGTCAGTGTATAGTTTTCTATTAGGTAGGGGATAGGGATGGTACATAAGCGATCGAGAGTTACCAATTAACTAACGGAGCTCAATCTGGAAAAGTCTCAAAGTCATTTTTTTCGCTTCGGCGATGTCAACAAATATGATAGAGCAAATGAAGCTAACTTTATAGCTGCAAGAAAGTATTGAAAACGATTGAGAAATGTCTCTTAGTTTTTATTAATTATACCCATTTGCTCAGCATTCGTGATGCTTGGGACCCATCTCTCATACGTGCTTTAACAGGGGTCCTCTATCACTCTTGTATGGTATGAGGGGGGGGGGGGGGGAGGGGTTGAGGGCTGTAATGAATACAGACCTAGTCTCGAGAAGTTCAATCCTTTGATAGCTTGTATCAAAAAAACTTTCAATTTTTCTGATCCCGTCAAGCCATCAAACATCAAAACAATATGAATTAGTCCTAAACCTATCGCTTTAATAGTTAACTTAGAAAAAAAGTATTTTTTCGAATAATTTGAAAGTGAATTGATTCAAAGTTTCAACAAAGTATCATCACTTGAATAATTTGCTCCCAAACATTTTGCGAAGCTATCAAGATAAATTGAGTTGTTTCACGTTTCCAATGATTGCAAGCTTGCTTCAAAGAAATTATGAAAATCAGGCAATCAAAACAAGTTGATTTTTCGAAGTTGCTTAACTTGATAGCTTGCTATAAAAAACTTGCTTGCTATTTTTGAGAACAAATTTTCTGCGAATCCATTTAAGGCATTAGACAACTTGAAACATACCAGTTACAAAGATTGATAGCCTGCTTCAAAAATTTGAGTTTTAGAAAGGGGTGAAAATTTCATTGCTTAAATAGCTTGCTTCAGAAAAGGTTTATCATTTTTGCACACGAATGCAAGCTTTCGAAACAACTTGAAAGTTTTCAATGTTTCATTGCGTGATAATTTGCTTCAAAACATTTAGTTCTTTGTAAACCATTGCAAGCATCCTGGATTGTTCAAGTTTCCCTTGCTTTGCTTCAATATATGGCTTCAAAAACTCAGTTTTTTTGTGAACCTATTCGAGCCATCAAATTAAATTGAAATGAAATCAATGCACAGTTGATTTTCGTATTAAAATGAAACCGAATATCTTTTAGGTAAACGGACATAATGTTTTATAGAAGTTAGCGTGACAGTTGCATTTTTTTTTAGTTGAATGTTTGAATTTAAGTTTAGTTTGAATATGTTTTTTAGCCCTGAGAAGATGGGCCTGTTGGACCCTGAGACTAGTGACGGGAGAGTGATCTTCTTCCTGCCATGGGAGAACCACACTATCGCTGGCACCACTGATCTGCCCTGCGAACCCACCTTCAACCCCAAGCCATCAGAGGCAGAGATCTCGTTCATTCTGGATGAAGTGAGACACTACTTGTCCCCAGACGTACAAGGTACTTATAACATATGGCAACCAAGTCATCAACTACCTTGTTAAACCAATAAACCATATGAAATTTTCTGAACTACTACTCATGAGATCAAATAACTAATAAATGAGCGTTGAACACAGCCGTAAGCTTTTGATATGTTGCTATGCATCAGTCAAAAACTACCAAAACCCCGATGAAGGTATACAAAATGCCTACGCCTTATTAAATTAAATAGGATCAATATGAGGATTTAATAGAGATGATAGCCTAATAGTCGAATTCTGCCTCGACTGTTTTTGCATCGAAACGCTGAAGTTTCAAGTTCTGTTTTTGACTTGTTTTAATTTGTGCTTTGATTGGTGACTGTTGCAGTGAGAAGGGGAGACGTGCGTGCGGCGTGGAGTGGAATCCGACCTCTGGTCAAGGACCCCAGCAAGGGAGACACCCAGTCGCTGGCGAGGAACCACGTGGTCGAAGTGGACGACGCCAATCTAGTCACCATCGCAGGTGAGTCCTGTTACTGAACACATCTTAATAATGATATGAATCTAAAATATATAGAACTAGGTAGATAATTGAACAAGGAAGTGGGACCCTTATTCATTTGTTCTAATTAAGGTTTGGTTATAACGACTATATTAATAGCTTATCAAACGAATAGAAATGGCGCTCTTGAGTTTCGTATTATGATAAACATATATTTCAGATAAGTGATCGTACAATAAGATAGGTTATTTGATACATAAATTTTTCCTGTGAAAAGTAAATTATCTTCCGAGATGTTTGCTTCGCTAAATTAAGTTGGCGTGAAATATGAATTTTGAAAACGCAAATTTTGAACTTAATATTTTATTTCGAGCTCGCGTTTTTATTGAAAATGGAAATACGTTTGAAAAAGCTGAGACCAAGCGATAACTAGGAATTGTTCAACCTCTTTCCAATATAAGCTCTCCTTATGAGCTAGGTAAGGGGAGTTTTTCAACGATTTTTTCTGTGAAAGAAGGCGATAGTTCTGCTTTCGAGGTTCAAGTGAGAGTACGGATCTTTTTAACTAGCCCTCCTCGGGTACCTAATAACGAATATCCCCTATAAAGAAATAAATCAAATATAAGCATTTGAGAATTTTATACCTAGTAACGAATATCCCCCTTTTGCAAAAGGGGGTATATAGTTAAAAAGATATCCGAGAATACAACAAAAGAACTCAGCGATGATGATTATGATCCTAGGTTCCTGATAATGATTATGTAGGGGGCAAATGGACTACGTACAGGGCGATGGCCATGCACACTGTGGATGCGGCAGTGAAGGCGTGTGGGCTGCAGCCGAAGCTGAGTGAGAAGAGTCAGACAGACGGACTGTTTCTAGAGGGAGGGGAGGGCTGGTCGGCCAATTTCTACATCCGGCTCGTACAGGTCAGTTCAAAAGAGGAAGACGAGTTCGTTTTTCCCTGGAAATGAAATTTAACACATCAAACAGCCAGCCAAAATTGTTTAGAGTCAAAACTAGAGTATCTGAAACTTGACAGGTCCGAAGAAAATAATCTCGCTTATTGAAAAAACAGGTTGCTCGTTGAATTTTTTTCATGAAGCAATTACTGTAGTAGCATTCGTTATTTCGTATTGCAATGATTGACCTCCATTCACCTTGCATGAAAAGATTTGCATTCAAGCAAGGTGTACGTTGTTTGTTATTTAGGACTTTGGTCTGGACACTGAAGTTGCCCGTCACCTGTCAGAGACATACGGCACGAGGTCCATAGAGGTGGCCAAACTGGCCAAGGCCACAGGGCAGAGATGGCCTTTAGTGGGCAGACGTCTGGTGTCCAACTTCCCCTACATTGAGGCAGAGGTCACATATGCAATGAAGGAGTACGCCGAATCGGTCACTGATGTCTTAGCCAGGAGGACCAGAGTCGCTTTTCTCAATACGCAAAGTGCCCAGGAGGCCATCCCGATAATAGCTGATATGATGGCTAAAGAGAAGAAGTGGTCCAACGAGAGAAAGGCGGCAAGTTTTTTTTTTACACATCATACATTTAATAATGAATCTAGTGAGCAGTCTCAGCCGCTTTCCCTTGTAGCATCTTATACCGAATCGATTCCATATGAGCAACTTATCCAACATAACTTAACCAACTCAGCATGACAAAATAGTTAGGTTTTAAATAGATCGATAGTTTGATTTTGATGATGATGATTTTTTTCCCATTTGTTGATTGACCATTTCTTGAAAAAAAATGTTACGAAGTATTCTTGTGCAAGGGTTAGTGCTTCAGACATTCATAAGTATTTGACGAGATCCGCGTCTTGCTTGTGGCGTTAAATGAGCTGTTGAGGTATCGCTTTACTGTGGCTTAGATTTATGATTTGTCTGAATCAACTATCTTTTCTCGCATCTATAAATATGTTGTGCACTATAACCCTAATAATTGGCCTCTCTCTTCGATGATTACAGACGGAAGTGAAGAATGCACAGACGTTTGTGTATGAGCAGATGGGGGCCGAAGCGAGGAAGGAGTACCTGGCCAGTGTGCCTGTGAGTCTGACCTCAGAGGAGATCAGCAAGTACTCGAAATCATTCAACAGCATCGACAGGAAGAGGAAGGGATACATATCACTGCAGGACCTCAGACAGTTCTTCAAGGTACCATCTTTGTAAACATATCATACCACTTGGTAGCAGCCGCAGAAGTTCTAAAGAACTTCAGGTATTTAAACTTTTGAAGGCCCTAACTAACATTCGCTGCACTTCGCTCTGTGTAATAATTTCCAGTTGAATTAAAAATTAATCTATTGATTCAATGTTAAAAGCAAATGAGGATAGCCGGTTACTATGCAAGTAGCACAGAATGTTCCGACCAGTCTTAAAAAATTACAATGAAACTATTTTTGCAAATTCGGCGTGCGTGTGTGATAAAGGAATCTGAGCAAAAAAGTAGAGCTTAAGAATTTTCGTTCTTATTTAACATTTTTTTCCGAATGTTTCGAAATTTTTGATTCCTAAAATGAAGCTAAAAACTCCTAAACTAACTTCATTTGGGTAAAACTAAATTTTCAAGGCTCAAATTAAGCATAAATAGGCTAATGTAAGCATGCTCACTCGCACGAAATTAGACGAAAAATTTCAAACCGATTTTCTTGACACTGGAAGTTTTTTTTAATGTCGTTTGAATCACGACTGAAAACGCTTTAATATGATTTTTATGACTCAACCCAGTCCGATGATCATTTCTGGTAGCTGATTTTGCGTGGAAAGCTAAAAAAAACTAAAACAATCCCGAATACAAAGTTTTCCCCCCATTTTCAATTATCGAAGTTTTCAAAATATCGATCGAATCGCGATTGAAAAGATTTTTATGTGGTCGATCACTCGAACCTGTCTGACAATAACTTGTTGTACACAATTTTTCGTGGAAAATAGTTAAGTAAAAAACTAAAACACCCGAATAATAGTTTACTTACATCCTGGTCAGAACAAAATACAGTCTATTGTTCTGGCAGTCATGCGCACTTTGCCAGCTGTCAGATGGTTCTTTTTTCATGCAAGTTGATACTTGGCGGTAGCCAACCCGACATTCAAGAGTAGTTTATTAATAGTTATTAATAATTAATAAATAATGTTTGCATCAGGATCAAAATGAAGAGATCAGTGAGGGCACTCTGAGAGACATTCTGAACGATGTGGATGCAAATTCTAACGGACAACTGGAGCTGGAGGAGTTCCTGCAGGTAACACATGTTCGCTAAACCGAAACAAAAACAAACCATTTTTTGTTCTTTTTGTGCATGTGAAAAAATAATTAATTCAGAAAACTTATCTACTGTTTGTAGAATTTTACACTTTTTGATACAAATTAGTTTGTATTTTGCTAAAAGATTGTAAAGTTGCTCAAATAAATATTTTTAATTGGTGCTCATTAGTAGTGGCATGCTGTTAGAATGTTGTGTTTTTTTTATTAATGACAATGACAATTGGTGTTGGCTTGTCCATTAAATGTTTGCTGAGTGGATTTCAACATTGTAGATTGACCGAAAAATGTATAAGAGGCTCATAATTGGCGATTCGATTATCTGCTCGAAAACAAGATATTTTAGGGCGAGCTTTGAAAGCTTTGATTGGTTAAAGTTTTTGTTTTATTCGGGACTTCTGAAGTTTCCCGCCTATCAGTAATTTTTTGTTTTTCTCATTTTTGTTTACGTTCAATTCTCGTGAAATTTGGCTTGTGTATTTATTCTTTAATTACAAACACATAAACACAATTTATGTTTATAACGGGGCCTAGGAAATTAGACGATAAGCAAATTAGACGGATGCTACAAAAACGAAAATAGACGGAATTTATTTTTTACAGATTCGGCATTTTAGACGAAAGGGAAAGGGCCAACAAAAATTTTTCTTAATAGTCAAGTTTCACAAATACAAAAAGAACATAAATTGTCAATACCTATCAAAACAATTAGTTTAAATGAACATAAAATGTCAAATCTGAATATTACAGGAGAGTTTTGAATTGAATAAATTATGCATGATTGACTTGTAAAAATTTTGGCCACCGAAATTGAACTGTTGTCTACAAACAATTTTCTTTTTCTAACGCAATTTGTGTGCAAACAAAGTTAATTTCTCTCACTTTCGTCTATTTTCTCACAATTGCAGTTTTGCAAAAGCGTCTAATTTCCTTTTAAGTACCTCCGTCTAATTTGCTTATCGTCTAATTTCTCAACCCCCGTTTATAACTTATATTTACACCGTAAAACTGATTTCGATATCCGGGGGAAAACAGTAAAAAAGCCGGACTCCTCGTCCAAACATCTGATAAGTCAAACAGTCGAAAAATTTGGAGGGAAATTAAGCAAACATCCAAAAAAAAACAGCTTACTAGTGCAAAAAACGAAAACTTTTAAAACAAATGAAGCAAACATGCAAAATGAAGCAAGCATCCAAAAAAGCTTATTAGTGTAAAAAAAACGAAAACAATTTGTTTCTTTTGTTAAAAGGAAGTCAAGTTCCACTATCGAGCAGTACGTGTGTACCTGTCACCAAAAACGTAAATGACACCAAAACCCTAAGAAAAGCCTTTAGAACAATTTTGAGGTTGTTGAGGCGCCTTTAGAACAATTTTGAGGTTGTTCAGCGAAAAAAGGATGTCATAGTCAACCAGAACCGCCCCCCCTCAATTCTGGTTGCCTATGAGATCCTTTTTTCGCTGATCAACCTCAAAATTGTTCTAAAGGCGCCTTTGACGCCAGTCTGACTAATTTTGAGTGGGGAGCGCGCGCCAAAAAAAGCAGTTTTTTAGTCAAAATTTTCCAAAAAGTTCCTAAAAACGCTTTTTTGGCCTGTTTTTTGAAAAATTTGCTTGCGGCGCAAAAATTTTGTCACAAAATAGGGTCCTTATACTATTTTAGGAGAGCTCGGAAAATCAAATTGGTCAACCTGAAAAAAGGCCGGCAATTTTTTGCAGAATTTTTCGAAAAAGCGCCTCGCCCCCTAGAAAAATTTCTGCGCACGCCACTGGGGATAGTAAAACGGTTCCAACTAATTTGTATTCTAAAATATACCCTGAAGTCTTTCTTAATATAGGATTATGACGCCATTTTGTCATGCATATTATTATTTACTATTGTGGGAGTTCAGCTCTTAGGTATCGTGCAAACATCCGAAAAAATAATGTTGCAAACATCCGAAAATCAGCTTTACTAGGGCGAACATCCGACTTCATTTAAAAAGCAGGGCAAAGATCCGATTTCTACCGTTCGCTTAAAAATGCTGTAGTCTTCAAAGGAAGACGGATCGCCGCGGTCGCGCCAACGTGTTGCGAGCTTGTCAACAGAAGGAAATAGTTTATAGGAAAATAAGAGCTGGTTATCGCGGTGTCCTCCGTCGACCTTACACCGAGAGTGGGCTAAATTGGAATCGGATTCAACAAAAAGAAGCCATTATTATTTTTTATTTGTGTGCATGGGCTTTTTTCCAACTGTCTATTGGCTATGTTTACATAATTAGTGCAAAACTTCGGAGGTACTAGTTTACTTGTTTGGTGACAAAACTAGTTTAGATGATTGGTCCCGCCTATTTTATAAAAAGAAGAGCCAGCATGGGTTTCAAACCTACGCCTTGGGGTTTGAAAACCTGATTCGAACCCGCTATACTAACAATGCCCGTTTCAATAGCAATATAGAGAAATAAAAAAAGCGTACCACCTGCTGTACCTCGGTTTTTATTAGGGACCGCAGCATTTTTGAGGGACCAAACAAGTAAACTAGTACCAAGTTCGGATTTTTGACATAGCGGAAGTTTGACATGCTTGCCTTAGACCAGTTTGAATTACCGGATGTTTGCACAAAAAGAGCCAGATTTGGTCCTTTTGGCATGAGAATATCCCCCCTGTTGAGATAGTCGTGTTGTGTTGTGTTTTCTTATGTGTGTTGCACTTTTGCTCCACTGCTTTCAGTTCGTTTCGGTGGTTAAAAGCGGATCCTTTATGGGCAATCAACTGTCAGAAACCATCCTAAACATGGGCAAAGCGACCCCCCGGAACTCCACCGACAGAAGTGGGGGAGGGGTATAACAAACCCCATCGCCTGTTGAATGCCCACCAACTCGTAACACAAACTTAAACACCCCCTTGCACATTCGCTTTTGTGCTTGTGGGAATAATAAAGAGGTATTAGTATTGTTATAGTGATATTCCCGTCATTTTTCACAACAGTCTAATCATGTTGTTTGCACTTCTTTCTGTCGCATATATTTTCCTTGTAATTTCTGAATGTTTGAATATTTTGTGACGGTTAGTATTTAAAATTTTGTGACAGTTAAAACATAAATGAAACACTATAAATGGAAAGTGGAAACCTTATTGTATAATTTCTTGTTTCAAATTAATAGAAATTTGACCAGCGGAACGTCTTGATGATAAGAGGCTGCTAGTTTTCAAATACAAGTCGACCATTTCCTTGTATGGTTTCATTGCCCGTTTCTGTTTTGGCTATATTATCAGCTATATCAATTTATTGAAGGTGCATCTTTTGCGGCCTGTGTTTTATGTACAAGCAAATATGCATATCCCTGGCTGCTTGCTGTAAGGCATGTAACTCCTAAATAGCTGGTCGAAATATTCATCGGGGAAGTCGATGGTTGGTTTGAGCCTCACTATTATTCGTGTTTGGGGTTTCTGAATGTGAGGTGTTTCTCCTCACCGAAAATCAACAAGACTGCGCGTATAAGAGCAAAGTTCTGACTGTTTCCTCTGCCCTTTAATGTCTGAAGTAGTTTTGGTTAAATTTTAAATTAAATTTAAAGGGGAAATGGAGCTCTTTTCGGCTTCGCGGTTTTTAGTTTATTTTTTAGTCGTCATACCTGCGGTTCTTTGTTTTGAATCCCCACTAATATTAAGGAGAAGGGTTACATAAGAATATTTCATCTATCAGGAAGTTGGTTTGATAAGTTTTTTAGAGCTTAAAACTTCATAATTTTTTTCGGCTCCACTTTTTCGACTTACTTATTGTTGGCTTACTTATTTGATGGCAGGTTTTTGTTTCTGATATAACATGCTTTTGTTTACTTTACCTATGTTGAAGATATATGTTGGAACTATAGGTTATAAGTTTCTTTTTGCCTTATGGTCTCATCTGTCTTTTTGTAATATTCAGGCGCTATTTGCTCTTTTTGTTGGATTTTTATTTGCCTAAATTTCAAATCTGTTTGCTAGAAGCTCGCCCATCATACTAAAGTTTTCATCTATTTTCAAATAAAGCAGAGTTATTATTACACTGGCGAGCAGTATCTTAGTAAGAACCTTCTTTTTTCTAATCTAACTCAAAAATAAAAGTGTTTATTGAAAGTGAAAAGTGTTCACTTATTTGGTGGCACTTTTGCTCTAATCACGATCTGTAGCTTTAGAACTTTCATAGCATCTGTTCTCTGCTTTATATGTGACTAGTGTTTGTGATTTATTAAGCGTCCGGGGCTGAGTGGTTAATGTGTGAGATCTCTAGGTTGCAGATCGAATCCGAGACATAGCCGAGTTTTTACTAATTCGCGGCTTATTTCTACTTGTTCTTATTGCCCTTTATAGAGCTGCTTTTTGTGTTTGAGAAGCACAGCTAGTGTTCGATTCAAATTAACCTGCTAAATGTTGGATAAAGTGTGCTCTCCATTTACGAAAGCTTAAATAAAACGTGAACGACTTCTAGTTTCAAAATTGGATTTTATTTTTTGAAGATATCCCAGTGGAATAAAAAATTGCCTAGTGATCCACTTTTTCCAAATTAGGTTAGTTTTATCCAAAGTGTGCAATCATAAATTGTTTTTGAAATTCAAATAGCTTAAAGGTTATATCTTTTTTTCTTTAAATTTCGAAACTTGAAGTTTTTTTCAAAAAACAAGTCAATTTTTTTTCTATTTGTTTGCGTTCATGACAGTTTCCAACTGTCTGTTGGTTATTTTTTTTTGTTTCAATCACAAATTGTAACTGAAAATTGAAGAGCTGTTACCTGATATACTTTTTTTCTTCGAAGATTAAAAAATTTACGGTCATTTGAATCATTTTTTCGGCTTCATTGTTCTTTTACATTTTTCTAACCGTCGGTTGGCTATGTTTTTGCTTCTACGCGGACTGAATACTTATATCGTTTCTGTGGGGATCTCAATTTTTGAGAATTCCAGCTTGTTGTTTTATTCAAGTGCTGTCTGAATTTGCTACGTTGAGTTAACTGCTTTGAAAGATTCTCATCCTGATTGCTAAATGTTTCTTGTTTTTTTTTGTTTGCATGAGGATAATTTTTTGAGTGTAGCACGTATTTAAATTCTTAATTGGTATCTGAAAAGTCTTATGTTTTACTCACGCTCAAATTCGATCCTTCCTGGTTTGATTTCTGACATCTTTCTAAGGTCAATTCAAATACTAAAAGGAACCCAAACTTTTAATTTTTAGATTTCCTAGTGGAATAAGAAATTAACCATTGACCCTCTTTCATCTATTTCGGTTGGTTTCATAAAAAACTGTCAAACCTTAAAGGTCTTTGAATTTCCAAGAGCTTCAATTTTTTGCTCTTTTCTGTTCGATTTTCGCAAGTTGAATAATTCTGAAAAAATATCAGTTTTTTTTCGGTATCCTTGAGTTTGTTTGCACGTTTCCAATATTTCCAAACTTTTTGTTTCAGAAGAGCTTGAAGATGAGTTATAGCTTTTGAATATGATATACTTTTGAATCTGATAGATATCATAGCCCTGAGTGGAAATTTTGAAAGATTTTTTCTGCTACTATTATTATTTTTTGTAAAGCAATAGGGGTTTGAAAGGCTAATTTGGGACAGTTTTAGAGCGGTATGTGCTGTTGTATTAACGCGTGAGCGGCGAAATAATCTGTCTCAGAAGTCATTCCAAAGTGATCTAAGGCAGGGTTTTTTGTCTTACCAATGCATTACTTGGAATAAAAAGTGGTGGACTTTCAATAAAACTAAGTATTTTGAATAGTGCCTTATGAAAAGTCAAAACAAACGGTTTGGCGTGAAAAAAATGTGATTGGTTTTTCGTTTCAAGAGTGAATTTGATGTGAAACTATATCGTCTTAAGAAGTGCATATATACCTAAGTGCATCAATATTTTAAGACTGTTTCCTGAAAAAAAAAATTTAAAAAAATCAGCAAGACCTATATAAGAGTCATCACTACGTTCATTACTCTTAAAAAGAAAAAAATAACTTACAAGTAAGTATACCACTATAAAACTGAAAACACAATTTTCGATAGTTCTCTTTTTTTCACTTTTGTATTTGAAAAAAAAAGAATATCGTGGAATCTTCAGAATCATCTATGATTGTCACTGTTTACTAAAACTAACTCAACATGTAAAAACTGGATCACCGGGTAATTTTTTATTGAGCTGGAGGTTCCAGTTTTCCTAAATTGGATTTGTTTTTACCATAAAGTGGCAATCATAGATGGCTCTGGAAATTCCACGATATAGTTTTTTCAAATTAAAAAGTGAAAAAAGCGAACCATCGTAAATCGTGTTTTCAGCTTTATATATATGCTTACTTGAAAGATATTTTTTTCTTTTTAAAAGTAATGCACGTAGTGAAAATTCTTATATAGGTCTTGCTCATTTTTTGTTGTTTTTTAGGAAAAGTCTTAAAATAGTGATGCACTTAGGTATATATGCACTTTTTGAGTTCAATTGAAATTCATCTGCTGAAAAGGACGTAAATAGCACCCTCCAAATACGAATGTGGAAAAGGCGCGAAAAAATGTGAATGATTTCTAGTTTCGAAAGTGGAATTTAATAGAGATTTCCAGCGGAATAGCAACTTTACCTATTGATCCAGCTTTTTCTAGTTGGGTTCATGTTATCAAAAAAGCGCCAATCATAAAATGTTCTATAAATTCAAAGAGCTTAACGGGCATCTATTTTTTGCTTTGAAATTCAAAAGTTGAGATTTTCTTTAGCAAAAACAGTGTTTTTTATTATGTTAACTTGCGTTCATTACTTTTAATGTTTAATTAAGTGCACTTTTTTGGCTATCTGGTTAAATCACGTTGACTGAGGTAGTATCTCTACACTGAGGGACAAAATTAAGAGATTCAAATAACCGCGTCTCTAAACCCGTTTGTTTTCATAGCTTGTACAGCTTCAGTGTGTCGTGTTGTTAATGTACTCTTAAGGTTTCAATACAGATGTTTTTATCCGAATCTTCGACGAAATAAAATGAAAAATACCGGTTCAGAAGATTGTCACCTGGTGGAAGTTGTCAACTCAATGGCTCCCAGTTCTGGATTGACTGCTTTTGGAGCGGAAGTGTCTGGGGCGGAGATGACTGGGCCACCCAACTCAATGTATATTAGTGGATCATAAATATTCAACATAGATTATAATGTTTTAGCTGATGAGTTGCGTAAAGCGTGGAGATGTGCTGAGTTTGAAAGTGATTTCTCCACTTATCGAAAGCGTCAAGGCCAGAAATTTACCCAACAGAGACCAGTAGAAGACCCATATTTCACTCAGATTTCTCATAATGCGCCGATATAACAGCTACAAGAGGCACAACAACGAAACTTTACTAGTCTAACTAACCATTGAAGGTCCTTAGATTGGAGCGTAAATATGAAAAATTCTACTAATGTACTGACAAGTATTTTTGCAAGATTCATTCAACAATTTGTGCTTTTCGCCTAAATTTGAATTCGTACTACCATAATTTAGTCACAGTGGAAACCAATCATTAATTGTCAATTTTAATTTGTAGCATCAATTATTCAAAGCTCAACTTAAGTTTAACAATGTTTTTAATGGAGCGATGTTTAGTATTGCTTTGATCACTAATGTAAATTTGAAGCAATTTTAACCAAATTTTTTATATTTGCTAAAAGATGCTGGTCACATTTTGGAAACTAATATCTTAGAATATTTTGCATTCACTTTCACTGGCTGTTTTATAAATTACAAATTAAACCAAATTAGCGCTTCTGAAGCTAATAAATTATTTTCAACTTGAAATTTCGTGGATATAAGCGACAGAAAAACTGTCGTATGTGCTGAGAGGGGTGCTGCGCAAGCAGTAGCGTGTTTAGAGGTAGCGACGCCCTCCCTCCCCCTTCAGAGATTCGACTATCTGCCGACCCAAAGGGTTCCCTCGTTGTACTATTTTGAGATAAGCATTTTTGGCTGACTGACCTTAATTTTTTGTCAAAACTTTCCACAAAGGGCCTAAAAACTTCTTTTCAAGAGTCGATGGACGTAGTCCAGACTCTCATATAGGTCGTGACGTTTTCATCATTTTTTTTGTTTCCTTGCTCTCAATGACTCTTGTCCAATTGTCTGATGGCTATGTTTTGGCCTGTTTTTTTACTTTACTTTCGGCTCGTGTATTCGGTCGGAATAGGTTCCTAAATTTGATTTGGAAGGTACCAAAAAAATCAATTTGGTTGACCAATAAAAAAGGTCGAAAGCCCGCCGCCCTCGAGAAAATCCTAGATCGGCGCCTATTATTAACTCTTTTAGTTTTCCTTGAAATACGTAAAAATTACTTTATCTTGGGCACCAGATTGAGGACATAAGATCGCTAGATCTATCGTATGACATATGTTTCGGGCAAGGCACAAACCTCTTGTTATATTGACTTTTTAATTTCGGTTCTCAATTACAACTAATTCCAGTATAAAATGACAAAAGGGAACCAGAATTTGACTGCAATGATGTTTGTACGGAAGTACGTTAGCTGTATTAGCGGTCCCTCCTAACTTGAATTTGTTAGCAGTAAAAATAGGTAAAACAAACTTTGTGTTAATCGTCTATTGAAATAGTTTGCTGAATGAGAAAAAAATTTGGATTTTTTTTTTGCATTTGAAAACATGGGAGTTCTGTATATTCATTTTGATGGTGATTAGTTTGCAATTGAAATGACAATGATTTGAGAAATTTCAGCTCAGAACCCGCACACAATTTTTCTGGTGTTCCTCTCCCCACTTTATTTTACCCCTTATGTTTGCACATCCTGCTTTATAAACCTGTAACAAGACAAATCCACAACAATTTAACCCCTTTAGATACCAATAATTTGCCTCAAATTATGTCTTTTTTCAATCAAACTAGTATTCTAATTAAATGCACCATCAAGGAAACGCAAAAACTACGAACTGGAACTGCTCCTAATACCAATCTCATAAATGTCGATCAACAGTAAATACGGTTTCAGACCTTTTTATTGAAACGAGGGGTAAAAATCGTCACGGCGATTCTATGTGAAAACCTGATAACTGACTAATTTTGAAACAAAAGTTGGAAAATCTGAGTGACAGTAATACCCCAACCGTCGGAGTCGCAACTAAAATTCAACTCATTAAAGACAGTATTAGCCCTCAACTAGCTCTACCAAGCAAAGAAAATTTAATTCGAACTGCACAATGAGTACGCAAGCAACGAGAACATGTTTTACCCGTCTTCTCAGCAACCAAAAATTTCAAAATAATCGAACTGTTCAAAAATTTTCAGATTTGAAGTGGAGAAAATAATCACACGAGGATTATTTTATTCGGTGACCCTGAAACGCTGCGTATGCTTTAAAAAGCAACTTTTTGGTTAGCTGACGGAGTTTTCAAAGTCACCATGAAAACGTTTTATCAACATTTATAATATCATTGTATAACTTTGTAATTGATCTATATAGTATACTTGATGATCTCTTAAGTAGAACTTTTTGTATCAATTCTGTAATCGGTTTTGTATATCATCGATTGGATGTTTTGTGACTAACTCTATGCGTACTGCAGTGTTTTGAAAAAAAAAACGCTGTTTTGTTTTCGTTCTCACAGTATCAAAATTGTTCATTTCAGAAATTTCTGCGTGCCATTTCGGATTTTTCGCTCTAATAATAATTTTTTTTGCTGTTAGGTATGAAGAAAAAATGTGATTGCTATTCTTGACCTTCATCATGCAAAGTTTTATTTTCCTGACTTTATCGCACCTTAAATTTAGTGAAACAGTGTATCTGCAAAAACTCGTCGTTTTTGTTTTGAAAACAATTCTATCAACTGAAATAGTTGTTGTTGGATGTGTACTCTGGGTTAATCTTGAAACGGCCTCATGATTTTTCCTATATAATCATTTGTACCAAGTTAAATTTTAAACTGCATATGTAATTTAACTTCTTTTCAACCTCAATTTTTTACTGATTCGAAAAATAATGTCTTGAGCGTACATTTTGAACAATTTATTATGTGTAAATCAACCGCTTTAAACCTTTACTTTTTGAGTTGAAAACAATAATAAGGCTTTAATAATCACAAAAAAAACTAAAAGTTACAAACAATAAACAAATTTTTTGCTTCCTGCAAAAAAAAACGATTAAATCATCTTTAAATGTAGCAGCAAGTTTCACTTCTTTCTAGTCTTAATTTTATGGGGATTATTCAAAAGTGTCAAGATACAAAATTGGCGAAAATTTTAAACCAAAATTTAACTCGCGTTGAGGAAGTAAGCAAAAGTGATTTTTTCCCTTTTCTAAAGTTTCGTTTGGCGAAAGGGGGAGGAAGTGGTGACGAGGCTTACGTGGTTAACGTCTACCTTATTTTGTTGTTTGGTTTATATAAGTCAAAAATTCTCATTCTTCACGACACAAAGGGCTTCAATTTAATAGATCACTCGCTCGCTTTCATCCGAGGTTTGTTTGTGAAATCTGGATTTCTGCGAATGGTCACAAGCCAATGTAAATCGCCTCAAAATCTTCAGTCTAAACAACACTCGACATTTGAATTGCTTTCTTGAGACTAATTTTATGAAAGTAACTATTTAGGCTAATTTTCTTTAAAACCAACTTTTCGAAACCACAATTAATCACAAGGCTAACTATTAAACAGTTAAAATTGTTTATCCAGACATATACAGATCGATTCGATCATACACGAGCTCCATATCAATTGTTGCGCAATTGATAAATTCTAGACGGCGGAGCTTTCGATTGTTTGCGTTTTCCCAGGAGCGATACTCATACGGCGTTGTTGACCTTGCTTGGCGCAATTTGATCATTATCGCATTGGTCCGATTGTACAAGAGCAAGACGATTTTACCTCTAGCCTAAACCAATTCGTCGGCTAACATAAAACGTTCAAAAATAGAGCCAGTTTTTTAATTGCTGTTCTTGCCGACAAGAAAATAATATATTTGAAAACTATGGAAACACATTTTTCTTCGCATAGTTTACCAAAAAAGTAAGCATTCAGCCGTAATAGCCGCAAAGTCTAACGAAAGTGGAAAACTTTCAAAGTGAGGGAAGGGAAGTAAAAAACGATTAAAAAATAAACCAAATGCACAAAATTGTCTTTCTTGTTATTCTGCTAAAAAGTACAAAAGCAATACATGAAAAACTTCTCACAAGATTTGGTTCACATGAGGTCCGAAAAATCCAGATTTGCCTATTATTTTCTCTCCGAATAGTCGCAAACATTTTTTGATTCCTGTGAGCCAAAAACTAAGTAATTGCCGGAAGAATTTTGCTTGCGACAGAGGAAAAAGCCAATAAATCCTGATTTTTTACACTTTTATACGCCACATTCCTTTTCGAGATACTTGACTGCTATTATATAGTTCCGAAAACTGATAAAACTTTTGCTCATGGATGCCGGAAGAAAAATTTTGATCCCGATTAGCCAAAAAAAAAACGCTTTAAGCTACAGTGCTTATTTAATTTACCCGTTCAAAGTGAACAAAACTTGACAATTAAAACGCGTGTTTCCCAAATTGTTTGACTTTTGACATTAATGATGAGAACTAAAGTGCATAGAACCTTACGATAATTTTTATGTTGCAATTTACCTGGGTAATTTTGGCTTTTTAGTCAATCAAAAACTACGCAAAATCAATTGAGTCAATTGAAGAGCAAATTATATCAAATATAGCTCCTTATACAGCCCAACAAAGTTTAGAAAATTATAACCACCAAAAATCTTTATAAAAGAATTTAGAGTTTTAGAAAAGTATAGTTTCCCAAAATCTATATAAACGAATGTTTTTGTTTGGTAGCAAGAAAACGTAATTTGTCCTACATAAAATCCTAATCTTTGACTGAAAACAATTTTTAAACATTTTGCGCAAATGTTTCGCTGTTATACTCATCGAAAAATTTGTTGGACTTTATAAGAGGCTCGCTTGATATTACTTGCTTATCAATTTACTAATTAGATTCAGCATATAATTTAATTGAATAACAAACCAAAATAACCCATTTTTGAGTTAAAATTTTGGCCGCAAAAGTTTCAAAATGAATTGCACTATAATAACTCTTTAAACGTTTATGCAGCTTTAAATGTCATCATTTTTGTCTAAACTCAACCCAATTTGAGAAAAAAGCGTTCTTAAAATCAAATGTTTTTCAGTTTGTCCGGATAATTTAAATCAGCCCTGCAGTACAATTTTCAAAAAAATAAAAAGATAAACTTTTAATTGTATAGCAGAAAATAAACAAACTCTCACAATACGTGTTCAGTATGTTCTATTGCCACCCTTTTCAAAAACTAGTGCTATATTCTAACCACTAGTGTTATTTTTTCCTTATGACTAGTGTTATGAACCAGAACAATTTAGAAAGAAAAAGTTGCGTGTTATCATGAAAACATTTCAAAAGAGAATGTAATAAGTTCTTCAATTTTTTCACATGTGTTTCATGCCAGATAACCAATAGCTTATAATGCACTCGAACTTGGTTCACATCTTGTCACTGCGTGTCTCGATTTCTCCACAAAGTTTCTCGATACAAACTTGTGAACCCCACTATTAATGCGCTCATTTTTGACAATTAGTGGTAATGCGCTAACTTGTAACAAAATTGACCAAAAAATTTAAAATCAATCATATTGCTTAAATTAAAATTTTGATACTATTGAGAAATCTTATTTTATGGGTTCGATGGTTTCATAAGGTTGCGGATCTGATTCTACAGATGAATTTGTACAAAAATATGCACTAACACGAATTTTTTTTTATTCCTTAGAAGCTTGTTTTGTCGATTTGAAGCTGTTAAAGCCTGGTTGCTCCAATTTAGGACTCGAATTTCAAAATTAACAAACCTTGCAGTAGTGCTCTCTGCATTCTTGAAGTTTTGTTTAATAAATCAAGATGCGTGGCATTTAGCATCCAGCAAACAGTTCAAAGTTGGTATCGCAACATTAGTGCATAGATCTCGCGCGAGTGTGCATGAAACTAGGCGCTAGTTGCTCGATGCAACTATAAAGTACGCTCTAGATAATACAGTCTTTTACCGAACAATAATTTCATGAAATCACACATTTCCATTGCTCTGAAATGTGATATTCATTTTTTCACATTGACTTCCACTTGTTTAAGTGGTTGCTTTTGCTTTCCAAAATCTGATTAGATTTTATTAAATTTCCAAAAAGGACAAAATTTTTTTCGTGAAATGAATTCGAGAAGAAAACTGGTTCTTTTGATTCTAACTTACTTGATCCTTCTGACATGTCACGTGAACTATTTCTACATGAAGACTCACTCGTTTGACTCCCTCATGAAGTATCTAAACTGGGGAGCAGGAAAAAACTCAAAGAATTCTGATGATGTGTATGCTGAAAATGGATGGATAAAGGACAGTGGGGTGAAAAAGTGGGGATTCTTCCCTGAAAACGAAACTTCAGTAGACGTTGAGGCTGTGCTGGGTAACAAATTTTAATTTAATCAGCGACAGTGGAGCGCAGAGCCAGCGAAGCGTGTTCTTGATTGGTTATTTAAAGAAATAGGATTTGTGATGACCGTTTGCTTCGTTTTTTATTCCGAGAAAATTATAGATCAAAAATTTTACACTAAAGTCTTCACCTGTAGTCAAGTTGGACAAAATCAAGTTCGTCACAAAAAAACATAAACATATTAAAGCTACCTTGAGAAAAACTTCCATTATCGTTGTGTAGAGAAGAGAACTGTTTTTTAAACTTACAGGGAGGGAGGGAGGGGGCGTGTGAAAAAAGGTGGCGTATTTTTTATGAATTTTTTGGAGAAATTTTATTTTAAAAAATGACGCCCGTTTTTTTACTCCTCTGTTATAAAAAAAGTCTGAGTAAGTTTATGTATGATCCCAGGTAGCTGCTTGCAGGAAACTATAAATATTTTGCTTTCTGCAGAAAAATTTGCATCGGTGTTTCCCAATTTTGTTGATCAAAAAATACTCAGTGCTTAACTCCTAGCTGACAATAAGAGAATTGAAATTTCAGCCCAGCGACTATTCACCCTGCAAGAACACTGCGACAAAAACTACTCACCAAATAAAAACGGGTTTGTGCCCAGAAACGAACTTTTAGAGCAGTACAAGAAGAAGCACGGAGATGCAATAAGTGTACTGTCGCCATACAATTTGTACGAATGTAGGATTGCAAAAACTGGCACAACTATGCGATCAGTTGTTTTGTGGAAGGCGTTTCACGGGGGACAAAATATTCACACTCATCATTACCAGCACCCTTCCGAAGATCTAAAAGTGCCCAAACTAGACTGGTTTGACGCCGAAAAAATATCATTTATGACTAGACACTATTTGGGTGTTATTTTTGTACGGGAGCCACTAATGAAAATTGTATCATCTTACTTTAGCAAATTTTGCAATCCAAAATGGAACAGAGTATACGCTAAAAAGTTTGGATTTGACGCAAAATACAAACCAACGCTAGGAGAAGTTCTGAGAAAACTGGCCAGCGGTGAAAATCTACCTCTATATTCGACCCACGACGACCATTTTATGAGTTATTTTGACAAATGTGACCCATGTTTATTGGAGTACGATTTCATTGGTCGCTTTGAAACTTTGCAGAGGGATCTGAAATACCTCATTTTTAATAAAACTTCTCTCCACGAAGGGTTGAGCAGGCCTGTTGAAGATGCGCCGTACTCGGGCAAATTCGAAGACTGCCGCTATTCAATTGACAACCCCGAGGCCTATCGAGATGTGTCAATTGAAGATGTGAAAACTCTGATAAAAAACCATAGACAAGAGTATGCAGCTTTTGGGTATGACGCGGAAGCTACAATTAAATACTTCAAAGACAAAATTCTTGATGTGCAAATAGAGTTGGGCGACGATTGAAGTTGAATCAGCCGAAAAAAATATTGCAAAATTTTTGTCAAAACTGAAAATATCGAGTGAATTATAACGGTCGTCGGCAAAATCATTTGAACTTCATACAGTTTAAAAGCTGTGAGCTATCCATGTACCGTGTATTCTACTTTTGTGTATTTTTCTTCCATGTACCGTGTTTTTTGACTTTTGTTTATTTTTCTCATAACAGGAAACTATATGTTTATTTTCTGTGTTTAATTCTGTAGACTATTCAATGATATGATTTAAAAGTTGTTATAAAATGAAGAAACTCTATCATACAATATTTGATCCCGTGCTCAAATGTTCAGTAGCACCAATTCAAATGTCAGAACCATCGCAGTTCCTAATGATGAGATCACGGGCGGAATTGGGGGGGGGGGGGGGAGGGCGGGGGCGGAACCCTCTTTTTTCTCAGGGATTCGTCCACCTCCCGACCCAAAGGGTCCCCCTTTGTACTATTTTGAGAAATCCATATTTGGTGACAGACCTTGAAAATATTTCGAAGAGCGCCTTTGGCGCCAATATATACTAATTTTGAGGGGGGAGCGCGCGCCGGAAAAAAAGCGGTTTTTTTGGTCAAAAATTTTCAAAAAAGTGTCTAAAATTGCCTTTTTAGGCCTGTTTTTTATAATTTTGCCTGCGGCTTAGAACGTTTGGCCAGGGTGTTTTTAATGCTTTGGGAGAAAACCCTAGATCCACCCCTGGATGAGTTTAATGAAAAAACTGACTTTGTTTAGAAACGGACTGTTAATGAAAAAGACTATGCTTAGACAGGCCTGATAGTTTTTCAAAGATCCTCTCCGAATAACACAAACCATAGCAACACTGGATTTAGGGGGTACGCCCCCCCCCTCAGGGATTCGACCCCCTGCCGACCCAATGGGTCCCCCCTTTGTTCTATTTTGGGATATCCATTTTTGATTGACTGACCTTGAAATGTTTCTAGAGGCGCCTTTGAGGCCAATATACGCTAATTTTGATAGGCGTCTGCGCCACGTTCGCCTTGGTCTGGAAAGTTGCGCCGATCTCGCTTTGGTCTGCAAAGTCGCGCCGTTTCCGCCTTGGTCGCGAAAGTCGCGCCGTCCACGCCTTGGTCTGAAAAGTCGAACCGTCTTTGCTAGAGTCGCGCCATGGTTGCTTCGAGGGTCGCACAGCATCCGATCCAAACCCAAATTGCATAGTCGCGCCGAGAGTTTGAGTATCGAAAGTCTGGGCCTAAAGTCTGGAAAGTCTGGAGATGAGTCGCGCTGCATCCGCATTAAGACCCAAATTGCATAGTCGTGCCAGGATTGTGAGTCTGGAAAGTCTGAAGATGAGTCGAGCCGTGGGTCGCGAAAGTCTGGACATACCAAAATTTGATCGCGAAAGTCTGGACATACCAAAACTTGGTCGCGAAAGTCTGTACTGACCAAAATTTGGTATGCCCAGACTTTCGCGACCCATGTCCAGAATATGTTGACCAAGTTTTCGTATGTCCAGACTTTCGCGATCCATGTCCAGAATTTTGCGACCAAATTTTCGCAAGTCAAGACTTTCGCGACCTACGGCGCGACTCATGTCCAAGCTTTCCAGACTCAAACTCTCGGCGCAACTATGCAATTTGGGCCTGAGTCCGGATGCGGAGCGACCCTAAAAGTCTGTACATGATACTAAATGACATCATTTTCAGTCACATATTTAAGTTTTCTTTTGTCAGTGCAGAATTAAATTGGAGAAAGGGTTGCCTGATTGCCTGGATTCTCAAAATGCATGGAACTAATTAACAATAAATGAAAAACAGCAAAAAAGTGACCATCAAGAAGAAAAGCAGAGTCTGTATAGCTGCATATAGATATAAATATATAGTCACAAATCCACACCAACTGGGCTAATACTACCGACCCAAGAAAAAATCTAGAACATTGTCGAAACAAAAGCTGGATCAATTAAATTTTTTTGAATGAAAGTAGAGTTCTTTTGAAAGTCGTGATCTGTGTGCAAGCAGGATTTGATAGGTGATTAAAAATAACAAGAATTTGAACCTCTGATGATGAACACAGGCTGTCACTAATGACTTGAAGTCCAGTAAAGTTTCCAGGAATTAAGCAAGTTGGAATCTCGGATTTAGTATCATCGAGAAAATACATTGGCGGAAAAAGCAATCCAACCCTTGAAAAAGCCACCCAACCTATGACAAGAAAGCTTCGAGCAAAACTTAGCGGCAATTGTTTTTCTGCATAAATATGTAAATTGCCTGTATGTAAAAACTTTATTTTATTTCTGGATTTTTTTTATATTAGAAAATTGATGGAATAGTAGGTTGAGGGGCGGATCTAAGATTTTCTCGAGGGGGGGGGCGGATTCTCAAAAAAAAAATTCAATATACTGTCGATTTTTTTTAGCTACCCGATATCACTATATAGACCTTATTTGACCAAATTTTTTGCGCAGCAGGCAAACTTTGAAAAAAAACAAGCTAAAAAAGGAGTTTTTAGGCACTTTTAGAAAATTGTGACCAAAAAATTGTGTATTTTGGGCGCGAGCTCGCCTCTGAAAATTATAATATGTTGGCGCCAAAGGCGCTTTTGGAATAACTTCTGGTCGGTCTTAAAAGAGTACTAAACGGAGGACCATTTGGGTCCGCAGGGGGTCGAATCCATGAGGAAAAAGAGGCGCCGTCAGCCTCTCCCATAAATCCGCTACGGAATCAGTTAGAGATATGCTAACTTATGGAAAGCACAGCGCTTCACTATGAAGCCGGTATGCTTTAAGTTGCTGGTACTAATTTTTTTATTTTTACTGATTGTTGTGTTAATTTTTTGCTTAGCAGCTCTAATATTTTATCTACAAATCTACAGAACGTGTTTTTGTATCTACAAATTGAGCCTCTTTGAGTAATTTATTTTCAGATTTTTCCAAATATGGATATTTTGATGATATTCACAGCAAAAACAACAATTTCCAGGAAAGTCAACACGCTTCAGCCAATCCACAGACCGACATTCCCGCCAAAATCAGTGATGAGCTGGGTCAAAGTGTACCTGGGTCGCTCTTGAATTATCTCGAAGTTCAGGTTCTGGAAAAACACTTCGCGACTCTAGCAAAATTGCCTCTTATTTCCTCAGTCAAGTCTTCAATTGATGCATTCGCATTGGACAAAGTGGCGTCCAGAAAGTGCACAATTCTTGGGGAAGTCGTGTATTTCCTCAGTCGCTGTATTAGGTAGGGAGTGTAATGTATATTGGGCCAATGAGCGCTGGATGCTTCTTTCGTGTAGAATTCGTCATCACATGCTGGTCCACAGGGGCAGACGAAGTCGTTGTTGCGATAGGCTTTGTTCACCGCTACTTGGCACTCTCGTGCAGTTTTATTTCCCGATGAACACAATGGTATGTTATCTAAGGAGAAATCAACATATGAAAATCAAATAATTGCTTTGAAAGATTTCAGAATTTTAAGACCAAATTATCTAATTGTACAAAATACTGCGTAACAAAAAAAAATTGAAAACTTGTAGCCTTTGAGGGAGGGCTACAAACCGTAGCACCAGCTCGATGCCGAGTTACCGTCATTCGCTGGCAAATCGAATTTTAATCAAACAGAAAGCTAATCAAACAGTGATGGTTTAAATTATCAATGTCGTGGTGGCCCCTTAAACTTTCATGGTCCTAAGGAGAGGGCCAAGGAAGAAAAATATACAGACTTGGCTTAATCAACCATTTGCTGCCGCCAGATTTAAACATCAATCTTAAGCGTATTCGTTGATTTTACGAGTTTGCATGTGGACGAATATTGTAATTAATTAATTAAATCAAATGCCTATTTTTTGACGCCTAAACCAAACTAGACAACAAAGACATAATTAAAAATCATACAAAAAACAAAGGATCAAGTTAACATCCTTCCCCCCTCCCCTCAATAGACCAAGTTAAGACCCTCCATGTCCACACCAGCATTTAATTTATATTGAATTTGCTAATTGCTACATGTATAATGCTGTATTCTGATTGGCTGAAAATTCTCAGCTTAGGACCAAGTTAACATCATCCCCCCAAATGGCTTTGGGGGGAGGATGTTAACTTGGTCCCAAAAAATTTCCGGGAGATGGGTGACAGAGGCAAGAGGCTGATGTTCAAACTGTTGAAACTATTTACAGTTTAAACAGCTTAGGTTCAAACTGTACCTCAGGGATTCAACCCCATGCCGACCCAAAGGGTCCCCCTTTGTACTATTTTGAGATATCCATTTTTGGCTGACTGACCCTAAAATTTTTCTAAAGGCGCCTTGGGCGCCAAAGTATTCTAATTTTGAGGGTGGAGCGCACGCCGAAAAAACGCTATTTTTTGGTCAACATTTTCCAAAAATTGCCTAAAAACGCCTTTTTTGTTTTTTTTTCAAAAATTGCCTGCGGCACAGAAAATTTGGATAAAATGGGGTCTTCATAGTGATTCGGGAGAGCTCAGAAAATCAATTTGGTCGATCTAAAAAAAAGGTCGACAAAATTTTCGAAAATTTTTCGATAATCCGCCCCTCCTCGAGAAAATCCTAGATCCGCCCCTGATCAACACTATATAAAATCAATTGCCCTTTTTCGTGTATTCTAATTGTTGCTACCTCGCCGCAATAGTAAGCTCAGATTTTTAAAGAAATTGGAAAATTTCAGCAAGATTACCGGGCCGAAATAGTCACTAAATTTTTTCGCCGCATCGATAAAAATTTGGCCTTTCTCGGCGGTCTCGACAATTTCAGGTATGTTTCGAGCATCTCAACCAAATTCTTTTGCCATTCAAACTCTAACGATGTGTTCGTTCAGATCGTTGCGATTGAATGAACTCGTTTTCACAATTTTGTTGAAGAATAACACGTTCTTATTATTCATTGGAATTTCCTCGCACTCAGATTGTGTTTTGTACTTCGCGTACCGTTTTCTTCCTCATACTACTTGTTATTTGCCATTTAGTTGATGGAGACCTCGCAAGTTTTCGCAAAATTCCTTCTTTTTGTTC